CAAAACAGGAAGCAGAGACCTGGATCATGGTGGTGACAGAGGGGCGGGCAGTGGACATCAGGGAGAACTAATAGGACCAGGGGCTTGGTTAGGTGTAGGTGTAGGACACAGGGGCTGAATTGTAGAGGCTCCACTGCCCCCAGGTGGAAAATTTCGAGCATTATTTTTTTTTTTTTGAGAGAGAGAGAGAGGGGGGCAAGGGAGGGAGAGAGAGAGAGAGAGAGACTTAAGAGACATATCAACAGGAAAGAAAAAAAAAGATTGCATGGATATTAACAGCTATGACGTTTGTAACAATACACAGAGTGGGGGAAATTCGGTTATCATCTTTGGAGATCGCTAGATTACTCATTACTCTGAAAAATGATCTTGGCAGAATCATGGCTGTTGTGTAGAGTGAGAACCACAACACACGTCCTCATGTAGGCTTTTGCTTCTTTCCACCTGTCCCTCGTTTCTGCGCTCTTGAGTTAGTTCTCAGACCACCCGCACCGGAGCCCCTGCTTCATGTTATGCTTCCAGAGGAACCCAGATGAAGGTGTGGCCTACACAGCAGATGCTCAGGATGTGAGTCTGTACCTGGATGTCTCATATATGTCAAACAGCAGCAAGGACCCTGCAGCTGGTGCTAAGTGGGTGGTGAGGCAATGCAAATACTAAGGCCCTCACCTGCGCTGGACTTGGAGGAGGTACAGGCAGAAGGGGAGGGGTGGCATCTGCATTAGCTCTACCCCTGGAATGGGGTGTGTTACTGGTCATTGTAAGCACTGTGAGGTTGCCTGGCTTTTGTAACAGACTTGAAAGCTTTGAAGAAGAGATTGGCTGACAGGCTCATGTAAGCCATCCACTCTGAGCATTCTGTGAACACCAGAGGCTTCCATGACAATGATTAGAGACCTACATCTCCTTCCAGACAAGTAAGGCTCAGGACTTAATCACGGAGACACTGATAGTGCATCTGGAGGGGTCAGAATAGAAAGCTGGATAGAGGGAAGTTTCCTGGCATGGTGCACTCTCCCATCACGTGTGAATTAGCATCTTAACACACACACCCCCCTCCCCCCCGGGCCGTGCTGTTAGAATGGTTCTCCAGAACCTGGACCTGATACTGGCCTGCAGGAAATGAGCTGCAGATGCCAGGACTGCGTTGGCATCCTGAGGAAGGTATGAGATGGCTCACAAGCCACCATCTGACTGTACTTCCCCAGGACACTCCCTTCAGTGAGGAATGCCCCAGGGAGGAGCAACCTGGCATTTCTGAGAAGCCGATGAGCGTGTTGTCCTCTGTAGGAAAGGGTGATAGAAGATGCTGCCTTGGCCCTGGGATCCCTAGTGTTTGGGGATTATGAGATTCTGACAATCAAAGAGAGACCATTTGACCGTCAGGAGTAGGTGGGTATAATGACAACAATGACCAGCAAGGCCAGAGTGGCAACCAGGTGTGCTGGCCAATAGCCATCTTAAGCAATGGCTCATAAACCATAGCGTTCCTAGAGGGTGAGATGGTTGGGCAACCAGCAAGGGAGTTGCTTGATGTGTCTAACAAGAAAAAACAAATCAAGAACTCATGAGCCAAAGGCTGGTATCAGCTCCTGCAATGGAAAATTGATATCTTCCCCCAGTTGCCAGCTCTGACAGCCAATTGATTGAACAAAGGGCTGGATGTATTCCCATCAGGGAGGGCCCTGCAATGCCACTCCAAGTACTATACACGCAATAGTTCCCAATCCTTCCCCAGTGGGACTTAGGGTACCTGAGTCCTAAGGAAAGTGGCACCCCCAGACCTTCTGAGGATTGTTGGGTATGGTCTGAGCTGATACTGACACCAGAGGACCTGAAATGCCATCATTCTCCCTTACTGGGCCGGGGAGAGAGGGAGTCTCTCTCACAGTGGGTCCAACAAGTCAGAGGACCCACCTGATGGCTATTTCACTGGTCCTGAGTGCACCTTGGGATGGTTTTACCTAACAACCCCCAGAGCCCTCACCATGAGTGAGAGCCACTATGAAGGACAGGGCTGAGTGGAGGTCCTGGAACTGGACACCCCCTTCACTCAAGATGAATCAGAAGCAAGACCACCATTCCTCCTGAAATAGCAGATATCGTGCCCCCTCCACCAAGACTCACAGGACATCCCCATCACACCCCATTCAAATGACCTTGTGAGCCTCAGTGAAAAACAGATCCTGGTGGATGATGTGGCCACCTACCCTGTGGGTGCAGAGAGGATTACCAGGAACAGTCAACAGAGCCTTTGGCATTTGGTTTGTGGCTAATGTTCTAATCTTTTCAAAACTATCAATAAAAAGGATCAAATGCAGCTTGTTTGTTAGTGGGCAGGACAGCAGTACACATCCTCTCTTGCCCCAGGGCCCTACTGACTGCCCCACTTTCTCCCAGAGACCTTGACTGTGAGGACATTCCATGGGCTGTCCCTCTGGTCTGATATACAAATGACAACATGCTATTTGGACCTGGGAAGCAGTGACAAGTCTCTGAAACTGAAGCTTAGAAAAGCAGACAGAGCCCTAGCCAGTTTGGCTCAGGGGACAGAGTGTCATCCTGAGGACTGAAGGGTCGCAGGTTTGATTCCCAGTCAAGGGCACGTATCTAGGTTGCAGGCTCAATCTCCGGTGGGGTGCGTGCAGGAGACAATCAATTGATGTCTCTCTCTCTCACATAGATTTTTTTTTTCTCTCTTTCCTCCTCCCTTCCACTCTCTAAAAATCAATGGAAAAATATCCTTGGGTGAGGATTAACAAACAAACAAAGAAAAAAAAATAGGAAAGCAGACAGAGAGGATGGATATGGAGAGCCACAGAAGCAGCATCACCTAAGAGACAGCTTCCAATTGGTGACTGTCATGGTCAAGGTTAACAGGGAAAATCCACTTCATGGCTCCAAAATGACCTTTAAGGATATGAGAGGATCCGGCCTAAAGGAGCCAGCATTCTTAATATCTGTGCACTGTGGCACCACCAACAGAAGGTCAAGAAATGTGAGGGAGGAATGCAGAGTCCATTCCCCCCAAATGAAAAGAATGTAAACTTTGCCCTGTGTGCAAATTCCACCCCTTCTAAATTAATTGGCACTGGGACAAAGTGCTGAAGAGCCAGTTTTATTTTACACTTGCAGGGGTGTGGTAGCATCAGTACTTACAGTGCATGAGATCATAAAAAACATGTAAAATAAAATCAATCCTAAGCAAGGCCAAGCCCACATCTTCCCAGGGTCCCTCGTGGACATAATACATATATTATTGGAGGTAAAAACAACAACACAGCAGTATAAACAAGATACCCTCAAGACCAAATACACATTAGGGATTTAATACTGTCCAACATAACATTTTTATTTATTGAGTTTAGATTATTTCAGTAGTATATAAGCATTAAAACCAAACCAACCATTAATCATAACACTGATATTTACACCATCAAGTAATGTGAACATCCCCCAAGTTTCCTAACCCTCGGGAATAACAATATTATATTTGCATTACTTGTGCACATTCCTCAACTAGAATAAAGAAAGGAGCTCTGTGATACCACACGTTAGGGGCCATGCCAATTATGTGAAGATGTGTCCTCAGGTCCCTCCCTATAATGCTGGTAAGCACTTACTCAGTGGATCTTCATTCCTTAAACTAGCGGTTCTCAACCTGTGGGTCACAACCCCTTTGGCAGTCAAACGACCCTTTCACAGGGATCGCCTAAGACCATCCTGCATATCAGATATTTACATTACGATTCATAACAGTAGCAACAGTTATGAAGTAGCAACGAAAATAATTTTATGGTTGGGTCACAACATGAGGAACTGTATTTAAAGGGCCAGAAGGTTGAGAACCGCTGCCTAAACCCTTTCAACTCACCCTAAAGACCCAAAAGCCTACAGAATTCCTGACATGAACTGTTCAGCTCTAAGGTGACAGAGCCCTAAGCCTCCTAGACTGTTAGCACCTACGGTTGACAGGAGAGGGATTAAGGAAAGGGGAAAAGATAGAGGTGGATGAGTCTTTATACACCATGGGCTTCCCAGACCCTTTAGTTCACAAAACAAAGAGAAAGAGAAGGAATATTTCAGATGACTATAACACAAACTTGAATTATTTCAGATCTATGTATCTTTCACACATGAAATGTCATGGAAACACCATTACATAAGTCAGGCTAGAGAAGCAAAACCACCACAGGGAATGGTGAGAATCGATATAGATCTGGAAAATTTGTAGATGAGCTGCTACATTCTATTTTTATTAATTTTGTTTACTAATTTATGTCTGTCTTATTCTGTAAAGATTTTTGTTGAGCATCCCAAAGGACTGTGGGCAAAGAGTGTAAGTTACGATGGAAGAGGCGGGGAAGTGACAGATGGAGGAGAAATGGGCCCAGCTGGGACCAGTTCCCAATCCTCTAGGACTCACAGACATTTGCAGACTTAATTCTGCCCCTTCATCTCAGAAAAAAGTGTATAGTTTTTATTTTTAAATAAAAAATTTAAATATAAAGTATTTCTCAAATGATCTTCCACAAAGGTGCCAAGACCATTCAATGGGAAAAAGACAATCTCGTCAACAAATGGTGTTGGGAAAACTAGACATCCACATGTAGAAGAATGAAGTTGGGCCCTTATCTTACATCATATATAAAAATTAACTCAAAATGGATCATAAGCTTCATGATATTAGACTTGGCAATGATTGCTTGAGTACGACAACAAAAGCACAGGCAGCAAGAGCGAAAATAGACAAATGGGGCATCCTTAAAAACTTCTGCACATGAAGGCCAATAGAGGGAAAAGACAATCTATGGACAAGAGAAAATATCTGCAAATCACATATCTGGTAAGGGGTTAATATCTACACTAATAAAAGAGAACCATGAAAATTGGTGTCACTCCGCTACGCCCACCAGCCAATCAGATGAGCATGCAAATTAACCCAACAAAGATGGCAGTTAATTTGCATATGCAGGCCCAGAGCGAAGACTGAAGACAATGTAGAAGGAAGCCAAGCGCTGCAGAAGGGAGCGAAGCTGCGGACAAGCAAGGTGGGGACGGGGGCGGGGCTGGTGGAGGTGGGAGCAAAGCCCGCCTCGCCTCGGCAGGTTTCGCTTCCTTCTCTGCTTCACTCGGGCAGCAGGAAGCCCTATTCTTGCAGGAATCTTCTTGCAATGGGCCTGTACTACAGAATATAAAAAGAACTCTTACAACTCAACAACAACAAAAAGTCAAATAACCTGATTTTAAAATGGGGAAAGACTTAAATAGACATTTCTCCAAAGATGATATACAAACATGATCGACAAACATATGAAAAGATGCTCAACATCCCTAATCATCAGAGGAATGCAAATCAAAACCACAGTAAGTTATCACCTCACACTACTAACAAAAAAACAAACAAGCAGTAACTAGTTCTGTGAAAATGGAGAGAAATCAGACCCTTTGTGCATTGCTGGTGGGATTATAAAATGGTTCAACTATGGAAAACAGTATGGAAGGTCCTCAAAAAAATGAAAAACCAGAACTATATAATCCAGCAACCTGACTTCTGGGTATTTTTCCAAAAGAATAGAGAGCAGAGTCTTGAAGAGATATTTGCACTCCCATGTTCACAGCAGCATTATTCACAGTAGACAAAAAAAAAAAAAGGTGGAAGCAAGCCAAATGTCCACTGATGGATGGATAAACAAAATGTGATATACACATACGAAGAAATATTATTCAGCCTTAGGCAGTCTTGTCACATGCTACCACATGGATGAACACGGAGGACATGGTGCTAAGTGAAATAAGCCATCACAAATAAACAATGCATGATTCCACTTATATATGGTACCCAGAGGAGTCAAATTCATGGAAACAGAATGTAAAATGGTGGTTATTAGGAGCTGAGGGAAGGGGAAAAGAGGAGCTATTGTTTAATGGGTATAGAGTTTCAGATCTGCAAGATAAAAAAGCTCTGGAGACCTGTTTCACAACAGTGTGACTATACTTAACACTACTAAACTATACCCTTAAAAATCATTAAAATGCTAAATTTTATGCTATGTGCTTTTTACCAGGTTGGGGGGTTGGGGAAGAGACAATGGGGATAAGCAGGAACAACTGAATACTAACTCTTTAGACAGTAAACTGTATTTGAATCCTGTTACTCACCTGTAACAGATACAGTTGCTTAACCCTCAGTGGAAAACAACACTTGTATTGAGAAGTAGAAGACCTGGCTTCTAGCCCCCAAACCTCCTACTAGATAGTAGGTGATATTAAAGAATTACTGTTAGTTTCCTTGGATATAATAGCATTATGTATATACTTTTCTAGAAAGGATTCATAAGGAAGTATTTTGGGGGTAAAATTATATTTTCTAAGGTTTTGTTTAATATTGTGCAGCCAAAAAAGAAAAACAGTGTGGGGCAGGGATAAATGAGAAAAGAACAGCAGAACAGTCACAGCTGTGGAAGCTGGGTGGTGAGCCCACGGAGGTTCAGGAGGTTGTTCTGTGTACTTCACGAAAATTTAAAAATTTTCACAATAAAAAGTTTCAACAAAGGGGAAAAAGATGGAGGGATGTTTGGAATGGATGACAGTGGGACTAATGCACTGACATTTTACAATAATAGGATCACACTACACATGCCATTGTTAATTTCTTAAAAACGTTTCATTTTAACTTGCATTTACAGATTAAAAAAATAATAATAAACTAAAATAAAATTGAAAGAATTGTCAAGCTCCAAGTAAATATTTCTCTCCACCTCCTCTAGCCATAAACAAAAGAAGAAGGTAAACGGGCGAAGAACAGAGGTGCGGACGGTGCCTCGGCGAGCGACCCTTCAGGGCCCTGTCTGGACGGTAACGGAGAAGTTTCTGCTGGGAAACACCCACCACACCATGGAACACAAGCCAAGCAGGACTACTCCTTGGACAGGTAAGGTGGGCCTGTTCTGTTTCTAATGGAGAGGAATCAGTCACACTGCACTGGCAGGAAGGCCTGCTGTCAACACTTCAGAAATAGGAAGGGTGGTCTTCAGGATCCCATTATCCACCAGGCAGAGCATGCACAGGAGACATAACACAGGCCAAGGACACAGCAAACGCCCACAAATCACTGTGCCCGGCAGCAGGCGGCCCGGGACCCACTCACGTCCCCCAGGTTTGTCTGCTCCATAAACCCCTGGGGCACCCGCACCCAACACAGTTCCTTTGCAAGCCCCACTATGTTTACAAATTAACAACACTGAGTGCTTCCATGGTGACTGTGCCACGTGCAACTCACACTGACAAGTCTCAGGACCCTCCCCACGAGACAGACTTGAGGTAGACATGATCGTTATCCCCATTTTAGGGCGAGGGAAACCGAGGCTCAGGGAGGTCAAGTCACCTGCCCACACTGCCTGGCGGGGAGCAGCAGGGTGGGCCTCGCCCGTCAGAGCGGTGCCCGTGGTCCCCGTTGGAGAAAGAATCTCGGTCACAAACATGTCAACGCTGAGCCCAGGTCCTCAGTCTCCTCAGAGAGGCCTTTCCTAACAGGACTGCTTATTGCTACCCCAGGGGCAAAGGGTCTCTTGGTTCTGGCACAAGGGCCAGTCACGGTAGCCTCTGGTTGTTTTCCTGTGGGTCCAGTGGCCAGCAGAGATGGCCCTATGGTTCTGTGGCCAGAGTCCTAGGGCAGTTCTACGGAGGTCAGGCCAGGGGACTGGAAGCCGTCTGGTAGGAAGGATGGTCCCAGCACTCCACAGCCGGGGCCCAGCCGGAGGCAAGGCCTCAAGGCCCTGCTGGAGCACAGGGGCCTGCCACTCCCCATGCAACTTCCCCACTGGGAGAGAGGGAGCCTGTTTCCCACCAAAAAAAAAAAAAAAAAAAGTCAGACCCAAGCCTGGGGTGGGACTCCAGTTTCCTGACTCTTCCTCTAACATAACAGACATCCTACACTGAACTGAAACCAGCCCATGTAGTTACACAAGTGAAGTGAAATTAGGCTCAAGCAAACCACTTTGAAAAGAATATCAGGTTCTAGGTCCTTGTTCTCTGACTTCTGGTAACTGTCTGAACCCTGAACCACCAGATAGTGGAGAGAACACTTTCTTTGGGAGGTAGAAGACGTGGTTTCCACCCCAGAAACTCCCTGTCATGTTGCCAATGCCCTTTGCCTCCTTTCCTCATTTCTAAATAGGGAAAAGCAGCCTGTCCCTAGGGTGACCTCACCCGATTGTATAAAAGGAGGCAAACACCCTCTGAGTCCCCAGGCAGCACTATTACCATCACCTACCAAGGTGCTCTGTTTCTTCCCACCCCACCCCCAACCCCCAAGGCCCAGGAGAAGCAGACAGGAATAGCATCACTCAAGGTCTGGAAGAAGATGAGCTCTGTATTCCAGCAGGTTTTGCCAATTCTCTCAATAGAGGGACTCTGAGAGAACCAACAGGGAAAATAAATTCTTCTCCAGCAGCCAAAGGGGCCTCCATCTCGCCTGCTCTCCCAGATTACTAGCAACATGCCCCTTACCCAGAAAGCTCTGCATCAATGATTCTGGCAACTGCCTAAGTCCCAAAGAGGGTTTGAAAGGCACTCAGAGTTCCTTCCCTACTCTGCTTCCTAGAGGCATCCCTTTCAAGCAACCCCATGTTTCTTTCAGTTTATTCCTGGGAGTTCTGCAGAGAGGGGGGTTTACTCCACATCATCTGGACAATAGATGCCCGTTCTTATGCATGTGACTTCAGTGGCCTCACAAATGCATGTAAGAAAGCAACTGGCCATCTACAGAGCTAACCTGTCAGGCAGCCCCACCACAAATCACTGTTCCAACCAGCCTGTGGCCAGGGTGTGTCAGCAGGGCTGGGCAGGAAAGGCTGGAGGGCGTCAAGCAGGCAACCCACCCTGAAGAGGGACAGAGAATGAGGGCAAGGGCAGAGGATGAGGGCGGGGCCAGGTTCAAGGAGCCCGCTGCAGGATGAGCTCCGTGATCTCTGCCCTGCTCCCCAATCTCATGGGGATCCCATAGTAGGCCGTGCCTGGGCTGACGTATACAAATGTGGTCTGAGCCACTTGGTAGAGACCAGCAAAGAAGGGGTTCAGGAGATAGGCCGCCACATTCAAGGGGAAGATTTGCCCAGCATGTGTGTGCCCAGAAAGGATCAGGTTAATATCCGGCCGAGCCTGAAGGGCTCTCTTGGCAGCCAGGGGCTGGTGAGCCAGCAAGATGGTGGTATGGTCCAGGCTGCAGCCCCCCAGCGCCTTCTCAAGATCCATCCCGTGGCCAGAGTAGTGCAGGATGTCTGCTTCAATGTCATCCACGCCGGCCAAGCAGATCCAGTCGTCATCCTCGCCGCCACCACCACGCTGGGCCCGGGTGGCAGAAATCTTCACGTTCTCATTGTGCAGCGGCCTGACATTCAGGGTCTCCAGCAGCGCAAACCAGTTGCTGACATCTGACGTGTAGTATTCGTGATTCCCGGTGACGAAGTAGGTGCCCAGGCGTGAATGAAGCTGGCCTAAAGGAGCGACAGCCGTCCGCAGGATTGAGGCTTCTGAATCGCAGAGGTCCCCCACGATCACCGTGACATCCGGTTCCAGCACGTTCACCATCCTCACGAACATCTCCATCTTGGTCCTGCCCACGGTGGGGCCCAAGTGAATGTCTGAGAGGAGCACGATCTTGAGGTTGTCCATCGAGGTGGGCAGCTGATGGATGGGCACCTCCACGGTCTTCACCGCCGGGGGCTGGGCAGCATTCAGCAGCCCCGCTACGCTGAGCACGGCGGTCACGGCCACTGCCAGGGCCGGCCTGAGCGCCAGCTTCCTTGTCTTGTCCAGGCTGCCCACGACCCGACCACTGCGCCAGGCCAAGAGCTGGTAGGCCTGCTCCATGCCGCTGAGGGTACAGAGGAAGAAGAGCATGATGATGTACGCCCCGAGGCAGGAGTAGGCGGCCAAGGAAAAGAGGTAGGGCTCCTCGGCCACTAAAAAGAGCATGGTGAAGAAACTGGAGTGGGCCAGGGCCAGAAAGGCCACGACTGCCATCTTCCAAAGATGAAGACAGGCCGACTGTGAGGCCGGGGAATGGCTAAGGTTGCTGACAATGCTACGCCAGATGTAGAGGGAGCCGATCAGCATGAGCGAGTTGGCAAACAGGGCAAGCTGCAGGCGGAACAGCCAACGCCAGGCCCTGACCTCGAGGCTCTCGGACAGGTAGGAGCGGGAGATAATCATGGACACGAAGACAGTGCCAGCAGCCAGGGCGGCCTTCCCGACCAGGGAGAGGTGCCTGAAGATCACCATTTTCTCAGCTCCTAAGAGGGTCCCCTGGCAGGTCTGTGCAGGTGGGCTCTGGAAGGTGAGTTCCTTAGAAAGGACAGTGGCCAAGGAGAGGGTTCCAGGTCAGGTCAGGTCCGCCTGCAACCAGGAACCCGCATCAGCTTTGTGGAACGTTAGCGCTTTCTGGTCCCCATTCAAAACCTGAGGGTCACTTACAGGGGCCCAACCTGCCTAGACTCCACACCACCCATCAGTGGCCACACTTCATCACGGCAGTACAAACACAGTGGGTTGTAACATGACGGGCAGCTTTCATTTTCTTCTTTTCCGTTTTTTTTTTCCCACAAGGAAAAACGTATGAAATTTCTTTTACAGTAAGAAAAACGTTATTCTAAACCAGCGGTTCTCAAAGTGTGGTCTGCGAGACCCTTCCAGGGGTCCGTTCAGTTAAAATTGTTTTCATAATAATACTAAGCCATCACTGCCCTGCCCTTTCTCATTCTCTCATGAGCACACAGCGGAGCTTTTCAGAAGCTGCGTGACGTATGCTATGGCAACACTGAATACAGGCGCAGTTAGGAATCTCCGACTGTCCTGGGTTAAGACGGACATGAAAGACATTTGCAAAAGTGAAAACTAATACCACTCTTCACCCTAAAATTCGGGGAGAAACATTGTTATTTTCCCAAAAAGCGTAAGTTTCCTAACATGTAATAGATTAATAAATATTTTTAATTTTAATTCCTAGGACAGTTAAAAGTTTGAGAACCGCTGTTCTAAATAAATGTAAACAAGGGACCTAGCTGGTTTGGCTCAGTGGATGGACTAAAGGGTCCCAGGTTCGATTCTGTCCCAGGTTCGATTCTGGCTAAGGGCACAGGCCTGGGTTGCAGGCTCCATCCCTCCACAGCAGGGGTCGTGCTCATCATTGATGTTTCTATCTCTTTACCTCTCTCCCTTCCTCGCTGAAATCAATTTAAAAAAATATATTTTAACCCTTTGAGTGCCAACCAATATCCTAGGAACTATGGTAAAATCGCCAAGGCATTTTTGCTGATTTTACAGCAGTTTAGAAAAAAAATTATGAATCGCAAGTAAATGAAGTTACATATTCAAAAACTTAAGGAAACCTTTCCTACATTTGTTTTCATCTTTGACATATATTGTTTGCTGATTGTATTATAAAATACTAGTAGAAAAAAAAATTTGAAGAAAACATAATGTTAAAATAAAATTAATGTTGACTTTGAATACAGGAATGAAGATATTGTTTAACTTTTAATAAGATTTTGATAAAAAATCTAAAATATTTAGATAAAAGCAGGCTTAGAACTGGACGCCATTTCGAAGCTTTAAGGCCACAAAATCTGAGTAAACTCCATAAAAATGCCAAAGGCCAATTTTAGAACTACAAACACTCGGCATCACAAGTAATCTGCACTTAGGAGCCATCTGTCAATAAAGAGTGAACTAGCATCTAATAGTGACACTGCAGGAGGAGCGCGATAGCGCTCCCGGCACTCAAAGGTTTAAAAAAGATAAATGTAAACAAGGGAATCACGGAAAGCTGTCCACTGGTAGCTTTCTTCAGCTCCAGGTCCAGGCAGGGACACTTAGACATGGAAGAATTCCTGGGGGAGGTGGCAGGGCAGTCGGAGGGCACCCCGCTGCTGAGCGATGCTGCACAAAGATGAGCAACCATTGCTCAGGGGACTGCCCTGCCCACCAGCTCCTCGTCTATAAACCCATCTCTCTTCCTTCCCACAGCCACCCAAATATAAAGATCTGTCTTCCCGGCACACATCTGTCTCTGCCACCTTTCCCATGGTTCTCACCTGGGGCTAGCTCTCACCTGGGGGGCTCCTCCAGGCCTCCTGGCCAAAAAATCTGGGGCTCAGGAGCCACAGGCCCCAGTAGTCAGGGTAGCAAATACTTCATGTGAGCTGACATTTTCCCAAGAGGAACTCTAAATTAAAATATGTTCAGTAGGCGTTTCCAAATACTTAAGATTCTTAACCTCTGGATTTCATGGAAATGTGTGACTTTGCTCTAGGCAAGTTATTCTCTAAGCCTTTGATCAAAGGGTATGATTTACAGGTCAATGGGCCCGAATTTCACCACTTCTACTTAAAACGTGCCCCGGACTCAGCCCACCCAGACTCTGGAGGAACCAGAGTTGGTTGGCGGAATGTGCAGAGGGGCTGGTGCGGTTTCAATTCCCTGCTGTTCTTCTCCCGCCAGACGCGTCCCCCCCTCGCCTACTCGCTCCCGCAGACCTCCCTCCAGCCGCTCAGGCTGCCACCTGCCGCCCGCCTCCAGCCCGCCCTCGGCCTCGACCGCCAGACCCGGAAGGTTTGGAAAATCCAAGTCAAAAAGAGGAGGCGGCGGGGAGTGGCAAGAAGGGCACGAGATGTTTGGTAAGAGGACGTCTCGAAAGCAATGAACCCAAAGTTCCCATTGCAGGGGGGGTGGCCTCCCCTGACCCCATTTTCTCCTTCCGGAGCGCCCCGCAGAGCACACACTGGGCAAGGGAGGGCGCCCCAAACCGGAGCCCAAGACTTCCTCCTCTCGCGCGCTATTTAGAATCCCCCCCTCCTGGAAAACTGCGAAGCTGGAAGCGTGTGGGCGCACCTCATCTCACCCCCCTCGAGGCACCTTTGGGGACCTGGGTCCCAGCGAAACCGGCGTCCGGAGCGGAACACACCAGCGACCGGCTACCGGGAAGGACGCGCGCCCCGCCCGGCCCGCCCCCGACGGGAAGGCCAGTCTACTGCCTGCGCTCCGCAGGCTGCAGGTCAGCGGCGTGCACCCCGGGAGCCCAGGACCACCGCCCCGCAGGACCCCTCTTGGCCGCAGCCCCAGCCCCGTCCTTCGCCAGCATGTCCCCTATCAGTGCATCCCCGCGTGGGGATCCTGTGGACTTACCCGAAAGCTGCGCGCAGTCCCCGGCAACAGCGACACCAGCAACAGAGAAAGGATGCGCTCGACCCCCAGCATGTCCACCCTCCAGCTTCCCGGCTCCGCCACAGTCGGCGCCGGGGCCAGCAGCTCAGCGTCACTAGACTGAGGACCCGGGGCCTGCTCCGCCCCGTGCTCCGCCCTGCGACAGCTGACCCGGGGGCGGGGAACCGGCGCAGGACGAGCCTGGAGGGCGCGTGCAGCCTTGTGACACTAGGATAGTGTTATCTGGCCCTAGTCGGCCTCAGACTCTTTGCAGAGGCAATCCGGAGGCCCCGCTGTCAGCAGCTAGATAACTCGCCCTGGGGTTGGACTTTAACCAGGGTCTCCTTGCCCCCTGGCTGCCTCAGAGGACAGAAGGGGGAAGCTGAGACCAGATAACCCTGAGTGCAGGAGATAAAATCCTACCCTAGGATTCTCGGGAAAACTCTAAACTAGGGATCAGAAAATTGTAGTCCCTGGACCAACTGTATACCTGGAACTTGTTAAAAATGCAAATCCCAGGGCCCCACCCCAGGAACTTTCAATCAGAAACTCTAAGGATGAAGTCCAGAAATCCATATTTTTACAACCCCTGCAGGTTTTTCGGTGCGTGCTAAAGTTGGAGAACCATTCTAAGAAATGTAGAGATATGGTTCAGCTATGGTAAAATCATTCCAAATGCCAACCTTCAACGCACCAGGATCTGTAGAATTTGTATTTCATTGTTGGGTTTTGAGATGAGAGCAACACCTCCCACCTTTTAATTTTGCACTCGAGCTTCTCAAGAGCCCTGTGATGCTGATGTAGGCAGATCTGTCAAATCAGGACAAAACACAGCCATGTGCCCCTTACGGAAGAGATACAGTCTTAGAAATGCAACATTAGCCAGCCAGTGTGGCTCAGGGGTTGTTGAACACTGACCCAAGAACTTAGAGGTCTCCAGTTCGATTCCTGGTCAGGGCACATGCCCAGGTTATGGGCTCGATCCCCAGTAGGGGGCATGCAGGAGGCAGCCAATCAGTGATTCTCTCTCTTTGATGTTTCTATCCCTCGCTCCCTCTCCCTTCCTCTCTCTTTCTACTGTTTCTTCAATTTTTTTCTAAGTCTGAATTATTGCAAAATAAAGTTAAATTTTAAAAAATCCTTAGCAAATGGCAGAATCAACCTTTCCTACCTACCCCCCCCCCCCCCCCCAGCCTGTAGACCCCAGGTGGCAATACGCAGCAGGCATTTTTAACTGAATTGAGGCAGGAAGTGTTTAGCACAGGATTGTGCTAAACAAACTAAAGCTGGCAGCTCAAACCCGGCCTTATGCCTGTTTTTGTATGGTCTGTCAGTTAAGAGTCATTTCTACATTTTTATTTTATTTTTTAAAATATATTTTATTGATTTTTTACAGAGAGGGAAGGAGAAGGATAGAGTTAGAAACATCGATGAGAGAGAAACATTGATCAGCTGCCTCCTGCACACCTCCTACTGGGGATGTGCCCACAACCAAGGTACATGCCCTTGACCAGTGCTACTCCAACTGTGGTCCAAGGACAGTGATAGGAAAAGAAATTCAAAGTAGGTATTTAGAAACTTGTAGCAATTTGCAAAAGTTTTTTTAAAAAAATATTTTTATTGATTTCAGAGAGGAAGGGAGAGGGAGAGATAGAAATGTCAATGATGAGAGAATCATGGATCAGCTGCCTCCTGCACGCCCCCTACTGGGGATCAAGCCAGCAACCTGGGCATGTGCCCTGACCGGGAAAGGAACCTAGGACCCTTCAGTCCACAGGCTGATGTTCTATCCACTGAGCCAAACCGGCAAAGGCACAAAAGTTTGTTAAATCTAATAATGAAAAGGTCTATTTTAACAAATATTTTCTTATTGATTTTTAGAGAGAGAGAGGAAAGGAGAGGGATAGAGAGATAGAAACATTGATGAGAGAAAAACATCATCAATTGGCTGCCTTTTGCATGTTGGAAATCCTGGACATGTGACCTCTCCCTTCCTCTCTCTCAAATCAATAAAAATATATATTTTTTAAAAACTAAAAAAACAACACTAAAGTCTCGGGCCTGCTGAAGTGGACAGTTGGGCTGTGTAGCAATTCCAAATCTTTCTTACGTCTTCAAGTTTTCTGACACACAAAATCCTGACACCCGTGTTCAGGAGTTAAGTTGTACAACCAACTGGTGGGTATGGTTATGAAAGAATAAAAAGATAAAATTGTGAAATAATCAGTTAACAGTTTCCTCACAGCTCCAATAAAAGTTAGCAGGATGCCATATGACAGTCATGAGTGTTAGGATGTCCTTGTCCCTATGTTCTCATAGGGACAAGGGCATCTCCCTTGTCATAGGGACAAGAAATTCCCTTTCAGTTTCTAAAAACAGGTATGTTTTTGAGGTAAGTAAAAATATAAAATATCCTAAGTGAGGCTTGCCTTTGGGGGGGGGGGAGACGACAAAAACAAGGACTTTGCTTTTGTTTATTCTCTCAATAATTTTTTTAAAACCTTCACCTGAGATGTTTATTGATTTTAGAGAAAGAGGAAAGGAACGAGAGACACAATAATGTGAACCAGCAACCTAGGTATGTGCCCTAACTGGGAATTGAACCCTTAACCTTTTGCTGTACTGGGCAATGCTCCAACCAACTGAACCCCAGTGGCCAGGGTGGAGGACTTTGTTTTAAACATTCTCTCCTATCTTCTTCATATCACCTTGCTATCACCAGGGTCTCTCAGCCACATCTTTGCAAGGTTGTTGTTAACTTATTGTTCATTTCTGTTTGTGTGTCTGTTTTTGAATTGGGGTGTTTGCCTTTTTCACGTTCTCCACACATTCGGGATATCAAGCCCCAGGTAAGATGGCCATGGATTCTCTGGGCAGGAGGCAACCGGGAGCCAGGTAAACTCTCCCCCGAACTCTGCCATCTCTACGGGCTCCTTCTCTCCAGTCAGGTTTCTGCTCAGACATCACCCCCTCATGCAACCTTTCTCCACTCCATCCCACTCCCTTGTTTTATTTTCTTTGTATCACTACTGCAATTGTTTCCCTAAAAATTGTTTTAACATAACAACTAACTATAAAATAATATCTTAAAAATACAGGTATGGGAAAATACATGTATGGCATAGAAAATGATACAGTGAGTGTCCTCATACTCACTCCCATTCCTTCTCCCCTAGGTGAACCCTCTCCCAATCCCATGCCCTTCCTTCCACCTTACAGGAAATCACTATCCGAAGTGTCTGTGTGGCTCCTTCTTCATTACAGTTGGTATTATCCTGTGTGCTTGTAAGAGGTAAGACTACAGTATTTGCATTCCTAAATAATATTTTGTGTGCTTTGACATACTTTAAAACTTTAGACAAATGAAGTTATTCTCTATTTTTTTTTTAGATTGAACTGTGTTATGTGTAGCTACAATTCTATCATTTTCCCCTGATGTAAAATATTATTCTATGTGCATATATTCTCACTTAAAAGCAACAACAATCCAGCCCTGGCTGGTGTGACTCGGTTGGAGCGTCGTCCCATGCACCAAAAGGTGACAGGTTCGATTCCCAGTCAGTGCACATATCCAGGTTTCAGGTTCGATCCCCAGGCAGACGCGTGAGGGAGGCAACCAACTGATGTTTCTCTCTCCCCCTCCCTTCCACTCTCTAAAATCAATAAAACAAGCAAACAAATAAAAACAACAATAACCTCGTTTATGGACAGGTTATTTCTGCTATTAAGAAAAGTGCTGCTATACACCAAAAACATTTACTAATTACAAAAATAATGAAGTGGAGAAACCATGACCTTAACAAAGTAACCAACATTAACCTCACTGATAGGAGGCAGATACTGTGTTTCTCCCTTGTGACACCAGCGAGAGAGGCAATATTGCTTCTGTGGTTTTCTGGCCAAACGAGCTTATCTGAATCTAATCATGAGGAAACATCAAAGAAACCCCAAATGAGGGAACTTTTTTTAGACAACGGGCCTGTATTCTTTTTAAAAATAGACTATTTTAAGAGAAGCTTTATTTACAGCAAAATTGAGCAGAGCCCAGCTGGTGTGGCTCAGTGAATGACCTCTTATGAACCAGGAGATCACGGTTCAATTCCCGGTCAGGGAACATGCCCAGGTTGCAGGCTCAACTCTCCTCACTGATGTTTCTTTCTCTCCCTTCCTCTCTGAAATCAATAAAAATATATTTTTTTAAAAATGTGAGCAGAGATTTCCCGTATGCCCCCTGCCACCACATATACACAGCTTTCCCCACTATCAGAATCCCATACCCAGTGGTACATCTGTTACAACTGATTAACCTACACTGGCACATCCTAATCACCCAAAGTTCATAGTTTACATTAGGGTTCACTCTTTTTTTTTTTTAAATATATTTCACTGATTTTTTATAGAGAGGAAGGGAGAGGGATAGAGAGTTAGAAACATTGATCAGCTGCCTCCTGCACACTCCCCACCGGGGATGTGCCTGCAACCAAGGTACATGCCCTTGACCGGAATTGAACCTGGGACCCTTGAGTCCGCAGGCCGACGCCCCATCCACTGAGCCTAACCGGCCAGGGCTAGGGTTCACTCTTGATGTTGTACATTCTATGGGTTTTGACAAATGTATAATATTTATCCACCTTTATAGGATCGCCCTAAAAATCCTCTGTGTTCTGCCTAGTCATCTGGGTGAAAAAGGTGAAGGGATAAAGTAAAATTGCTGGTTACAAAATAGTCATAGGAATCTCAGCATAGGGAATATAGTCAATGATATAGAAATAACTAAATATGGTGCCAGGCAGTACTGGAAATATCAGGGGGGGGTACATTTTATAAAGTATATGATTGTCTAACCACTCTGCTGTACACCTGAAACGAAATACAAAATTATATCGAATGCAAACGGTAATTGAAAAATAAAATTAAAGAGATCATTAGAATACAATTCTAAGTCATAACTATATATAAAAAGAAATGGAAACCCTCAGACTTGCTAAATCAGAAACTCTGGGGGTACAGCCCAGGCATCTGCGTTTTCACAAGTCCTCTAAGTCAGTGGTTCTCAACCTTCCTAATGCCGCGACCCTTTAATACAGTTCCTCATGTTGTGGTGACCCCCAATCATAAAATTATTTTCGTTGCTACTTCATAACTGTAATTTTGCTACTGTTATGAATCATAATGTAAATATGATATGCAGGATGTATTTTCATTGTTACAAATTGAACATAATTAAAGCATAGTGATTAATCACAAAAACAATATGTAATTATATATGTGTTTTCCGATGGTCTTAGGCGACCCCTGTGAAAGGGTCGTTGGACCCCCAAAGGAGTCGCGACCCACAGGTTGAGAACCACTGCTCTAAGGGATTGTAAAGTTTAAGTGGCGCTAATCTATGACCCGTTAGGACAGCGTCTGGCTTGCAGACCGCCGTCCCCCAACCAGCGAACAGCGGAGCCCCAGCACCGGCTGGACAGTGTAGGAACCTGAAGGCAGCGGGCGCTTCCCGGGGCACCATCCCCACCCGGGCAGCTGCAGGGACCCTCCGTCCGCCATTCCCACCCCGCAGCTGCAGGACCTTCTGGGCACATCCCCACTCCGGCAGCTGCAGGGACCTCCCGGG